CACCTAATGAGAAGGAAGGACTCACTGGAGAAGAGCCTAATGCTGGGAAAGATTGAGGGCAATAGAAGAAGGGGACGACAGAGAATGAGGTGGCTGGATGGAGTCACTGAAGCAGTAGGCGTGAACTTAAATGGACTCCAGAAGATGGTAGAGGACAGGAAGGCCTGGAGGAACGTTGTCCATGGGGTCGCGATGGGTCGGACACGACTTCGCAATTAACAACAACAATGGCAACGCTTACTAGCTCAGCCAAGGGACAGGAAGGATTTTGGTATTGAGAGACAGCTAGATTGATGAAGGCTGAAAGGGAGAACAGGCAGAATTGATCTAGATGTCAGAGTTGCTTTAGTCCAGCATCAGTCTTGGAAATCAAGGCAGCAAACTGTATTCAACAGTCTTGGGAGGGAGGGCGCAACATGCAGGCCTTTCCCCACTGGTCTTGGAAGAAAGGAATCAGGAACACCAATGCTCAGTCTCCACCACTTTCTCCATTTCAGGGAAGCTGATATGAAAATGTCCTTCCAAGTAAGGTCTCACCATTTGGGAAGCTGGAAAGGTTAGATAGTTGGGGTTTAGAAAGAATGACCCATTTTGGATTTATGAAATCAACTCCGATCAGACTAACAAGGTCAAGAATGAAGCTAGGCAACTGAGTTAGCCTGGTATCTGGCAGGACATTGGTGGAGAATAGTAGACAAATTTGGGGTTGTGGTTTCTTCAGATGAAATAGTGATTATCAACATATCTCTGCACTGGCTGCTTGACCAAGTGGCAACCTTAGAGGCTTAATTTTACTTGGATATTGCTTGAAACTGGAGCTGTTCCCTAATATATGGGGTCTGGGTATGGTCAATATGCTTTGACTTCAGCTCTGGTTTTGAGAAGCTTTATATCTTGCTGTACTCCAGGCACATTTGTTTCCTCATCCTTATCCCTGCAACCCCATCATTCAAACAATAGGCTAGCTAGGCTGTCATGGAGCCATACAGACTTCCCTTTTGTTGGAGTTATCTGTCTCTTGGCTCTCAAAAGCAGTGAGATTGCAAGCAAGTGTGTTGGCTCCTCCACCCTGCACCCAATTTAATTTTGTGCCTTTTTTCATGCTAGTTTCTTACGGTGGAATGGAGGTTGGTCTACTGCTGTTATTTCTTTCCCGCTGCTTTGCTAATTTCATGGTTGAACACCTCCCAGCTTTCCTACATGGAAAGATCCCAGATTCATGTCAGATCCCTGATGAGATTAGAACCAACCCAAACTCCAGGAAGGAGAGCTGTGAGTAATGGTTAGAAGTGCAGGGAGGTGGTGTTTGGAAGATAAATGTGAGTTCCAAAAGGAAGAATTGAAAGGTGGATATCACAGTTGTTGCTGTTTTATTTACTATTACAGCATTTAGTATTGGAAGTGGGGTGGATTCCACAGTACTGCTTGTTCCTTGCTTGCAAGTTCTCTGTTTTGGATATGTTTCTGAAAGTAAACAGGCCTGCGATAAACTAAGAGTAATTTTTTGTGACCTCACTCTCCCTAACATCATCATATAATCAACTCTAATTAGCTGTGGAATTAAATGATACTACTCATTTTATTTGCTTCTCATAATTCTGATCCTCCCCTTTTGGAACGTGGAAACTTATTCACAATAACAGTAAACTAAATGCAACCCTTATAGAGTCCTGCCAGTCTTGCGAGGTAGTCCAGACAAGAAACACAACTAGGAGTACAAACTCTATCTGTACTCTAAGGCTACATTAACAGAGTGTTGCAAGTCTCAAAGTAGCCCCCCCCCAATTCCTCACTTTGACTCTCCTGAAAATTAGGAAGGGTTCCTTATGAGCAGCTTTTGCTACCCCTCCTCCTTCAGACTCAAATTTCATTTAACAGACCTTGTCTAGGACGGTGGTGGATCTTCCTCCTGCCTTGCAAGGTCAATCCCGATACCATTGCAAGTCCAGAAGAATAACTATAAAACCATTTAGTTCAGAAGCTTGCGAAAAGAACCAACCACTTGTCGGTCAACTATCTTCCTATCTTCAAAGGTCATTTAAAACAAACCTCTGCTTATGGACGTCTTAAGAAGGTCACTAAGGAAAGAGCTCTGGTGGATAACTGGGGAGTCTTCCCCTATGGGTATTCTCTAAGACAGTGTTTCTCAACCTTGGCAACTTTACGATGTGTGGACTTCAACTCCCAAAATTCTCCAGCTAGCAACGCTAGCTGGAGAATTCTGGGAGTTGAAGTCCACACATCGTAAAGTTGCCAAGGTTGAGAAACACTGCTCTAAGATGTGATGGACATTGATTCTTGGGTTCTCCATTATCCAACACATCTAAAAATCACCAAATTGGGAAAGGCTGCCCTGTCCGGTGAGAGGACAGAAATTTAATATTTTATGAAAAAAAAAAAGGATCCAGAGCAGAATTTTGAAAGTGTAAGAGGGCTAACTTGTTCCCAAAGGATTTTTAGGTTGGTTTCTCCTATGGATGACAAACATGTTAGTCATGATCTCCTTTATTCTAAGGCAGTGATGGCGAACCTTTTAGAGACCGAGTGCCCAAACTGCAACCCAAAACCCACTTACGCATCGTTGGGTGCTGGTGGGTGTGGCCCATTGGGTGGGTGTGGCCCATTGGGTGGGTGTGGCCCATTGGGTGGGCATGGCTGCGGTGGTAACTGCAGACTGGGTGGGACTAAAAAGTTCAATCAATCCCAACTTTGTAAGATCTTTTTTTTTTCCCGCGAGAAGTTGAAATTGACTGATTGATTGAACCTTTTTTTTGTTTGCACATGGCAGCGGAGGCCTAAAGCGAAAAGGTTTTATAAAACCCAGCTGAAGGCCTAGGACTGGGGCGATGGCGTGCGTGCCCACAGAGAGGGCTCTGAGTGCCGCCTCTGGCACCTGTGCCATAGGTTCGCCACCACTGTTCTAAGGAGTGTTCTTCCAAAAAAAAAAACACTTCTCAAGAGAAAGACTGTTGTTACAGGGAATGTTACGTAATTATTCATAGGAAGGATAATCCAATACACGACCTGTGTTTTCCCTCTTCAAATGGTGCAGCTCAGAGGCTCGGTTTCCATTACAGCCATAATTTCACTTATACATCCATTTGTAACTTCTTTGTCACCGCCTTTTTCTCCTTGCCCTTTTCTCTTTGTCAGATGTGTCTGGGGCTCACGGGCAGGTTGATCGAAGTAGCCTAAGTAGTGTCCTGCGAGACCTGGTGAAGCCAGGAGATGAGAACCTGCGTGAGATGAACAAGAAGCTACAGAACATGCTGGAGGAGCAGCTCACCAAAAACATGCACTTACAGAAGGTTTGTAGGTGGAGCCTGGAGAAAAGGCTTGTGGGTGTGTGGGTGTGAAATTGGGACTGGGCAGAGTCAGCCACTGAATGGCATGGGGAAGAAGGGAGGGCTTCTGCTAGCAAAAGGCATCGAGCGACAGGCAACCCTGAACATTCAGAGTACTGAAATGGAAATGGCCATTTATGCAGGACATCCTCATTTATCTGAAAGATGTATAACTGATTCTTATGAAGGCTGACGGTGATACAAACAAAGAAAAGAAAACTTCAGACACTAAAACAAGCAACATCACTAAGAGCAAACTCCCCCCGTCCAATATAAGCAAATGGTGAATCAAGATCATGCTGTAGCCACAACAACCCAACATTTTGAGTGAATGAATAGACAGGCTTTGCTAAGACTGAAATAAAATGCTAGGCTGCCCTCTGCAAGGGAGGCATTTTCTAAGTGGCTTTCCCCAGCCAAGAAGATCTTCTCTCAAGTCTCCGTATAATGTTCTCTTGCCAAAGGGGAACTATTAGAGAAGAGCTCCCTAGGAACATATTGCTCAAACCTTGGAAAGGATTTGGGGTAGGAACGCTAGAGCAGGGCTTTTCAACCTTTTCACCCATTGAACCACTTTTAGGATATGGCAACATCCAAGTACCACCAGTCGACTAGCAAGGTGTCAAAAACTTGATGACCCAAAAAAAAGGAAAAAAGTGATAAAGTACAGGTAGTCCTCGACTTACAACAGTTCGCTTAGTGACTATTCGAAGTTACAATGGCACTGAAAAAAGTGCCCCCCAAGCCACAGCCGAGCAAGACATCTGCCTGCCCACCCGGCGGCGCTCTTCCTCCTGTCCGAGGTTTTCATTGTTGTGAGCATTTCTGTTGAGGATTGGCAGCGGGGGTGGGGTGGGGAGTGTTTGGTGTTTATTCCCCCCGTCTGCTGGGTGGTTGCAGCAGGTTTTGGTCACTTCACATGACCCTGGGACACTGTGACCGTCATGAATCAGTTGCCAAGCATCTGAATGTAAATCACAAGATCCTGGAGATGCTGCAACATTCCAGCTGATTGGCACTTCTTCCAGGCTCAGCAGAAGCGCCAATATCAGTGCTGCTTTCCAGCCGATTGGTGCTTCTTCAGGGCTCAGCAGAAGCACCAGGATCAGCGCCCAGCTCCAGCTGGAGCCTGGCGCTGATCCTGGCGCTTCCACTGAGCCCAGACAGCCCCGAAGAAGCGCCGATCAGCTGGAAAGCGGCACTGATCCTGGCGCTTTCACTGAGCCCTGACAGCCCTGCAGCTCCAGCCATCTCTCGCTCAGGCTTGTGCGGTGCTGCCACCGGTTCAGCTCATTCCCCTCCCCCGCTACCACTTTTCTAGGATGGTCGCGTACCACCTGCCAGGTGCCAATGTACCACAGGTGGTACCCGTACCACTGGTTGAAAAGCCCTGTGCTAAAGCAAATGGTGTATTTTCCCTCAAATTAAGCTACATTAAACACATGCAGCTTTTCTATGACAAGGCAAAGTTGGACAAGTTCCTTGGCCATTCAGGGGTATGCTGGGGACTCCAAAAATATTACAGGTGAGGGTAGGATAGAAACTAACCTTGGCTTTTATTTGGTTTTAACCATATTTAAATGTATGTCAAATTAAAAACATTTCTTCTGACTGCTCTCCAACCATATATTTAACCATTTTCTGATTCATTAAAATTGATAATTTGGGATAAACATTTGGAGGTCCCTTAGGGACCACATCCACATCTTTCAGGCATTTTATATCATGCTGAGGCTGTGCACAGTCTTCCCCAAGATAGTGTTCTCTTGGGATTTGGGAAATTCAGCTTATGCAAACATTTGCTATCGCCCGTGCCGTAGGAGTTATAAAGTGAACGGTTGAAGAATATTGGGTGGCATAATTCATGCCTTTGAACAGGCTGGCATGGAATTCTGGGAAAGCTAGTTTCAAGATCTCTGGGAGTCACCATGGTGAGGAAGAAAAGGCTGCCCCAGGAGAAAGCTAAACGGCATTGCTAAGTAACCAAAAATGCTGATGGTGGCGGGGTGTGTGTGTGTTTGTTTGGAACAATTACTGTGGAATAAAAGGTGTGAGCTAATCTTATTGCACTCCTGTGTCTTAAGGAAACATGCAGAGAGGGGTCGCCTTTTGTTGTGATCTGCATGGTACCATCAGGAGGAGACAACGCCCTTGATAGCCAGGGTCAAGCTATAAACAGAAGTCTCTACTGCAGTGTCAGCTTACCTAGAGGAAGGGCCAATCCTTGCCTGCTCGGTTTTATAAGTAACTGTCCTTTGGCCTTTCAACTAGATTATTGCAATCCTAAACTAGATGCCTGGTGCCAACATCCATAATTGAAAAATATTCTGAAGTCGCTCTATACATAATCAATGGCATCCTTCCCTTAGAGCCATGATGATTGTATTAGTAGTATAATTTTGTGCGTGTCTGCCCTTGAATTAGTCTTGAAATACCCTGTGCAGTTTTCTTGGTGACATTTTCAGAAATAGTTTTTGCCTTTGCTTTTTTCCTAGGGCTGAGAGACAGAGAGAGTGGCTTGCCCTAAGTCATCCAGGTGGTTTTGTGCTTAGCGCAGGACTAGAACTCAAGGCTTCCAGGTTTCTAGCCTGTACCTTAACCATTACATCATACTGGCTTTCACTATTGCTATCACTGCAACTATTTTCTGTTCCTTCTGAGTGAAAGCAATGCTCTGCACATTCAGAAGAACAGAACACCCAAAGCAAAAAATTAAAGTTGGCAACCTAAATGATGAGGAGCAACCCCTCATAAACAAAAGATAGAAGAGGCTGGGTAGAACAAAAGTTACCCAAAGGGGACCCGGCACACCAAATTCAAGGTACAGCTACAAATACAAATTTAGAAATGCTGAAGGCAGCTAGAGCAGCCTTCGCCAAACATAAATTCCCAAATTGATGTTGGATGATAGCTCCTGTGATTCCTGCAACAATAGGAGTTCTGATCCAGCACTGTCTAGGAATCTATGGTTGGGAAGGCTGTGGGATGAAGACCAGCAACCAGAGAGGGAGAAGATGCTTGTTATGAGGTATAGGGCTTGTTGGACAAATCCTTAGTAGCCTATAACTGTTGAAAAATGTGGCATTGGGGAGAGCTCTTAACCGACGGGAGGAACAGGCTGCTGTGGTAAGTGAATAAGAACAGAGAGACTCTCTGCTAGTTGGCTTCTGAGTTTGTGTGTTCTTGGTCCTGGGCGAGTGTTTTACACAGCTGCGGTAGCTGGCTTGTCCATTCATCTTTTCTCAGGCTGCAGATCAAGGTGACTGATGAGGAAGAGAGGCAGCAAGAGCCCCAGCTTTGGCACCGAGAAGGGAAGCTAAGGGAGTAGCAAATTTCCTTCTGCCTGAACGCTGCGATTGACCTTGAATGAAGAACTCTTATCTTCATACAATCTGCATTTTCTCCAGTCTTCTCTCTCTGTCACAGATGGGTGACCACCCGCAATTCAGAGAGGAGATCTTGGGTGATGCAGTTGCTTTTGGGAAGAGTAGCTTAAGGGAGATGTTTTTGGAGCTTGGAAGTATGTCGGGGGGGGGGGGGCAGAGAAATCTGCATTCTGGCCATAGTGGTGATGGTACAGCAGGAATGTTACTTCCTGGCTGTTTGTCACCTACACACCCACCACCGAGCTAGGTCCAGATTATAAGTGCTCACCATTCTGGGTTGTTGTTTTTTTCACTGATACAAGTGGTCTAATGCTGGATTTTCAGATAGGTAGCTAAGAGTCTGAGTAAAAGAGCACTTTGAATGTGCTTTGAGCTCTCCCCCCCAAAAAAAAAGAAGTGACAAGAAAAAACCCTTAATACACGATCCACATACAGTATTTATATAGTTTATAAAACTTGCAGAGGATTTTTTTTTCCAAAGGGCTAGATAGCTTTGTGCAAGGTAATTCTTTTAGAATATTCCTCTCAGCCGTGACACCTCAAAGGATACTCCACATTCAAAAGAAGTATACTTCTGAATATCAGTTTCTAGGATCAGATGGCAGGGAAAGATCAATTGCTCCTTCTCTTGTGTTTTAGAGAGCTTCCTTGCTTCTACTAGCTAGAAACAGATTGCTGGGTTAGATAGACATCTATCTGATCTAGCAAGGTGAGTCTTCTGCTTTCCTGCTTTTATCACGAAAGCACATGCTGAGGTAAGAGAACGGTTTTGCAGCATATTGGGGTGGTTTTTTTTTCTTTCTTCCTCTTCAGCATGAGCTTGATGTAAAAAATCTGATCTTTCCAATGTCCTAATGGAACAAGGGGACGAAAGGATGATGTCAGCGGAAAGAAGAGGCTATTTATAGCCGTCTCTGAATGGGGAGGGATGGGGGTTGAGCAGCCTCAGAGGACAGGCTGCTTCAAGGTTGGGGCTTCAGTGGAGCAGTCGGCGTGGGGCAGAAAAGGGATGCTGTCCTGACGCTGTCAGTGAGGATCAAGAAACTAATCTGGGAGGAAGTCTTCGGCCACGCAGGGAATTACTGAGTAGGGGGAAAGGTTAATGGTGCATGGCAGATGAAATAGCATGGTCGGGCCCGGTGATGGCCTGTAGGGGGCATTGTGCATTTGGGAAAGAAGCTGCTGGCAAGTAGAATGGATGGTAGAAGAGGCCAGCTAGGGCAGGGGTGTCAAACTCAATTTCATTGAGGGCCGCATCAGCATTGCGGTTGCCCTCAGGGGACTGGGTGGGTGTGGCCAGGGTGGGTGCGGCCTACTGGGTGGGCGTGGATGGAGTGGGTGTGGCCTACTGGGTGGGCGTGGCCAGCACTACATTGTTCGCATCAAGGGTGCCTGTGGGGGCCTGGGCAGGAGTGGGATAGATCTGAGGGTCTCTGGCAGAAGGGGGTGGGACCAGGGCAAGTGCCAAGGCATGGTCCACTGGAGGAGCCTCACTATTCCTCTCAGACCATGCGGGGGGGGGGCTTATGGAGCTAAGACTGAATGCCTTTCAGCATAGATGGCCACCACAAAATTGTACGTTGGTTCCCGGCCGGCCAGGGCCAAGGCAGCGGGGGCTATTCCCTCACTGTTTCCAGGATGGCTTCGCGGGCCACATGAAACCACTTAGCGGGCCGCATCCGGCCCCCAGGCCTTGTGTTTGACATGTCTGAGCTAGGGCATGGAGGTGGGTCTAGCTCCCCTGGTGTGCAATGCTTTGCAAGAAGGAATGTGATCTGAAGTGCATCTATTCCTGACTTCTGAGCTAAAAGGAGAAGAAATGGGTCGTTAAAGGAAGTTGCTTTTTTGCAGTCCAAACCAAGTTGGGTCCTTTCCTTCTCTTAATAAAGTGCATTCATTGCCATTGGTTCTTTATCTCTGTGTTGTTTTGGGTTTTTTGCTTTCCAGACGTCCTTTGAATTCAAGCCCAGTGACGATCAATGAGCAGTTTTTAGTTGGGAGAATGAATTGTGTAGAATGGGCATGACTTGAAAGGGATGTCTGTATTTTGCTTGTATCTCCTGTTTGGATATCATGCCTGTTCTTCCACAGGTCTCCTTTTCTGGCTCCCTCTCATCTGATTTCCCCCCTTTCTTCCAGGATTTGGAGGTCCTTTCCCAGGAGATCGTCCGTCTTAGCAAAGAGGGTGTCCCGTCCCCTGATGCTGAACCTGGCTTGGATGATGCTGTCTGAGCCTCAGTTCCACCTATGATGCCGTCCTCCATGCTTGGCCCTTGGCTGCGCTGCTGGTGTGTGTGTGGGGTGGGTTGGGGAAGAGATATTGGAACTGTCCGCCTCCCTTCTCTCTAGTCGGACCATTTCTTTCGACTGTATCGGAAGGGGCAGGCACTTAACCCCCAGCTACTCTTTCCCTCTTAGTGGCGCACAAACAGCAGTTTCTCCCCTCATCACTGTTCTACTCAGGCCTTCCCCCAAACAGTTTGATTTCTTTTGAATCATGCACCTACTGATTATGCTGCCTGCCTCTTTGTGGACCTGCCTTTGGTGCCCCGTAGGAAGCCCTGGCAGCAGTAGTTCGTCTGCAGGTGGCACATTTTTTAAAGTTGCATGGCCAATTGCAGCTTTATTTTTGAGGTTGCCAGTTTTGAAACTGCCTCCCTCCTTCCGAGATTGTCATTCCTGGTCCAGAGGAGTTGCCTCATAGAGGAGGAGGAGGTGTTCCTGCCATAATAAAGCTCCATAATCCATTCTCAATGTATAGCGGTCCAGGGAGTAAAGTTCAGTTTCCTTAAAAACCTCTCCCTGCATTCTACTCCGCAAGCTGCATTTGTGATTCTGTAGCTTCTTCTGCGTGATAGTCATACCACCTCCCTCATTTTGCATGTTTGGTCAGTTCTGAAACTCCCTGTTTCAAATATATATTTCCTCTGATTCCCTCCCTCTCCACAGCAGGATGGAGCCCAAGTGGTACAGCCCAAAAGCACTTGTACAAGGTTGCAGCTGGGCCCTTTTTCCAGTAAATAGAGGTGGAGCAAAGGCAACATGTTTATTTAACACATCAATGACTTGTACGAGGCTGTAATTGTTGAGTAACTGATAATGCAAAGAATGGTGGGTTAAGGTGTTTGTTTTTTTTGGAGTGGCTTTTACTCTGTGTGTGGATGTTGTTTTAAAACGAGTAGATCTGAATTGGTGGGTACTATGTTAGTAGACAAAAACTGGAAAGGTCACTTCCCCAGGCCAAGGTCGTATTCCATCTTCCCAACCTTTTTCTAAGTCCAGGGTAGGCAAAGGGTAGCTCTGGGCCTAATTTCAAACCAGGCGGTTCAGAGCTCTGGCAGACATCATGCTGCTCTTTGTTGATAGCTTGCTGGATAGGAAGAAAAAGAGGTGTTCGGTGAGGAAGAGAGAGAAACGGAGCTTCCACCCATTTGGGGCTCTGACTTGATGTCAGCTTAGCCCTAGGCTTCCATTATGACCCACCAAAGACTATGCCCAATGAAGACATGCTGCTTTACCTCAGCGGGTAAAAGACTTCCCATCCCCTGCTCTGGGTCCTTGACCAGATTCAGCCACACAGTCTCTGCCACCTCCTGTTCATTGTAGCTCTTAGCTCTCCCTAGTCCCCTATTGCTTTGTGTGAAGAGAGAGGGCTGATGATGTTTGGAGCTCAGAAAGTGAATCTCTGCTTGCTGGTAGAGCATTTCAGAAAAGATTGGGATCCTGCTAGTTCTGCTGTTTGGCCAGTCCTTTGACATACTACTCAGTGCTAATCCAGCATTTTGGAGGGTGAGAGGAGAGCTTAGGATATAACATTTGGCCTTTGTGTTTTTTGTTTTTTTTTGGTTGGCAAAAAAGACTTCTCTGTGTAGTTTCTCATCCTCAGGTGCTCCATACAAAGAAAGCTTTGATGGTACTAAGAGGGACAGCTGGTGGGGAGATGAATTCCTTCCTGTGACCACAGTAAATGACATGGATTCATTTTCTCAGCATTTATTTAAGAAGAAACTTAGTTTCTGTCAGACCTCATTGCAACAAGCAAATCAATCCAAACATTCAAAGAAATATTTTACTCAGACTTCACCCCTTAAATTCCTGGGCCTTTAATTGGCGGGGTGAGGTGGGTGCTGGGGTGGTGGTGGGGAAACAATCTGTGATCTTCCTGCTATTGTTAACTACAGATCCCAGCATCCCTCACTATTAGACATGCTGGCAGAGGCTGTTGAAAGTTTACTGGTGTTTGATAATGGAGAAGTCCTGAGTACTCAGCAATGTGCATGAATGAATCACACTCAGTCACTCTGCTATAAGAAAGTAGTTTATTTCATTTCAACATTTTTCAAATTCACGTTTTTTTTATATTTATTCAAATGCTGGGTGACAAGAGGCATAAGGTGTAAAGGTGTAAAGGTCTTGAATCTGAAACCAAATCCAGGGCTGTCTGTATAGATGATTGTGCCAAAGCCCATCCTTACACTGTTAGTTTTAGAAAAACATTTTGCTTTCAACGAGCTTTCTCTTCAACTTACCAAATTACAAATGAAAGACTCAAGAAAGTAGCAATTTAGGGAGAAGGAAAGAGGTTGCACAAAGCTATATATCCTTGACTGAAGGTTTTGTTTTTTGAAATTATAGCAATTATTTTCAATGCTTCCCGACTAGATAGAATCTTTGCTCAAGTTGGACTGGTAAAACAAAAAGAGCCATTTTCTGAATGAAACAAAAATATATTATCCTACCTGCCTATTTACTCAAAACCCCAGTGCAACTTGTTCTTAAAGTACAGGCAGTCCTCTGTTAACAACTGTCCTGTTTAACAACTGTTTAAAGATACAATGGTCCTAAAAAAGAAACTTTATGACATAGTAATGGCGCTTGAAAAGTAACTTTATGACTGGTCCTCAAGCTTATGACAGAGTGACTTACAAGTGCTGCAGCATCCCCACAGTCACATGATCACAATTTGGGTACTTTGCAACCGGTGTGCATTTATGATTGTTGCAGTACCCCATTGCCACATGATAGCCATTTTGATACGTATGCAAAAAATTATATATATATAATTTTAAACAGAATTATAAGCTAATACAAACTAAAATAGAGTGAAAGAGAAAAAAGACAAAGAAAAATTAAAAATGCAAAAAGAAAAAGTAACAGAAAAATAGAAAAGAAAACAAGAAAATATAAAAGAGTGGCTTCCAATCTTCTTTATAGCAGTATAAGTACAATTATAAATTGACCTCTCTCTAAAGTTAAATCATGACTCTCTTCTTTTATATCTAGTCATCAAACCATACATTATAAGGTTTTTTTCTTTTTTACACAAAAAGTCCATAAGAGGTTTCCATTCACCAATAAATGTAGATATTGCCTTTAATCAAACAATTCAGTTTGGCCATTTCAACAAATGATGTCATTTTCACCAACCATTCCTCTGTCAGAAGTGTTGCATTTACACTTTTGTAGTACAATAGTCTTGCTGCGTATATAAAATGCAGCAAAGTCATGTTCCATGACTTTTTTCCAACTGCTTATCCCTCAGTTCCAAGAGGAAAAGTTCTGATTTCAGTTGTATGCTAATCTTTGAAATCTTCTGAATCGCTGTATTTGAACACAACTTTTTCTAGCTTTTTTGCGCGTCTACCAAATGTGCTTATATTCACATTTCCAACCTAAATTTGAAATACCTTTATACTTTCTGACAAAGTCAGTGGAGAAGCTAGTGGTGAAATCGCAAGTCATGTGATGTCTCACTTAACCACCACACTGCTGACAGAGTTGCCAATCCCATTTAGCATGGTCATTAAATTAACCTGTATATTTCAGGCTCTTTTCAGCCATACATTTTGGTTTTCAGATGATGAAATTGAGGAGCCTGAATTTCTCTGATAAGTGTTTCCTTGTCTTTTCCCCCCACTGCTTACAACGCCCCCGAGCATCTAAATAAAACTGGGTCTTTGATCTGGGGGAACAACAACAATGAAATATTTATCCATGCCTCAGGAACTCAGTGACATCCCAATGAGTGGGTGTTGCCAGCTGTGGTGATGATGCAAATTGTAGTCATCAGTCCCGGTTGCATGCTTTTTCCCCCTGCTAATGGCCCCCTCCCCATGTAACTATTGGGGTCTGATTAAAATACAGATAAACGTATAAATAGTCTCTCCCTAACATTCTCTGTTGTCATGCTCTTTTTAAAAAAATGGAGATTCTATAGTACCAAAAAAACAACAACTTGGGTTAAGGAGGATATGCAGGTGGAGATGAATCAATTCTCCAGGATTCTCACAATGAATTCTGTGAGACAGAAAAGAGTTGCTGCTCACTTCTAGGAGAAACAAAATACGGTATCCTTGGAGCAAAATTGCAAACGGGTAGAATATGACACTGACAGTAACTTTGGTCTTAGAACTGTGTATTTGGTAATGGCATTGCTGGCTGCTTGGCAGAAGCATTTTTCTTTGTCCTGCTCATCCTTACATATTTTCAGTCCTGAATTCACTCTTGTCTGTAATAATGGGGATGATGATAATACCTACCCAGCAAGAAGGTTTGTAAGAATTTCAGTGGCAAATTCTTCATGGAATACAAGACTTGGAATGTGGCGAATGTCAAAATGTTACTTAACATTTCTAAAATCTTGACTCCTTCCCAAAAAGCCCAAGGAGTGAGGAAGTAGCTGATGCATGGTGGAACATATAAGCCCTGCCATCCACAAAAACGAGAAGCACCATCAGTTCTTGTTCTCTCCACTAATGAATCCAAAACTGCAATGATGTCCTACTTCATCAGACACAGTTTTCACCCAGCTCTTACTCTGCACAGTAAATGAGGAAGAGGACGGGAGAAAGGTGCAGGAATAAATGGATAAAAGGAGTCACAGGCTCTGCACAAGGGGGACTTAAAACTAGGGCAGATGCTTGGTAAACACGAGTCTTAATTTGCAAAAACTGATGCCCATTTCCATATAAGCACACATTTCAGCAGTCTGAGGTCTAGTGAGAAATTGTATACTGTATTTAAATCTCTTTTTTTTAAGCGCAGTGGTAAACTAAAGTTAAAATAGCAACCGCCCATACCACCCACTTGTCATAGTGAGCATTAGTAAACATGTAAACAGTATGATCCAATCTTAATATTTCAGGAGGGTTGTTACTTTTATAGCAAATTCACGCACCAATCAGGCTGAGCTCAAAGGAGCCTGCTGATTAGCACGTTCTCCTGCTCTCATCCACCACCAGTGCCTTTTATCAGGAGTCTGATCTGCAGTTTAGTTT